AAAAAAAAAAAAATATGACAGAATGGACAAAGATGTCACAGAAGTCTAGAGCTGGAGCTCCTAATGACTGTGAACCATCAACATGGGTGCTGGGAACCAAACCAGGTCCTTTCAAGAGCAGCAAGTGCTCTTTAAAACTTTATTGATGAACAATTTCCCCAACCCCAATAGCCCCAATTTGTAAACAGAACACTTCCTCGATGTTCTGTTGTAGATAGTAGTATACTAAATATTAGCTTTTTCTTTACTATTTCTTATTTCCCCTTATGTTTAAACTAACAGTAAGAGACACTTTCATGTTTTCACAAAAATTTTATAGCTCATGGACCAATCATAATTTCCCCCAAATCATTTTGATGTTCTAAATTTACATGGTCATTTTCTTTAGTTTAATGGGTTAATAATGTAACTGTAAGGTATACAACTTCCAAATACTGGGAGAACAAATAATTGAAAGGCTGCATAAACATATTTAATGATTTTCCAGCTATAACACCAAAAGCAGAGGAAACAAGAACAAAAATAGACATATAGGACCACATTAAAGTTCAATTTCAGGGAAATGACAATCAACAGAGTCCCTTCATACACAAAAACTAAGTCAATAACCTAGGCCTGGAGTTACTGATTTATAGTCTATAATCTATAATCCCCAGTACTCCAAAGGCTGAGGCAGAAAGAGCAATAGTAGTTCAAGGCCAGCCTTGGCCATCTAGCAAGTTGAGACCAGTTTGGGCTACACAAGACACTGGCTCATTAAACAGAAACAAACAAGGGAAAACAAAACAAATGAACAGAAAACGAAATGAAAGAACCTGCAGTGGGAGAAAATATTTGCAATGATATAGCTGGTAGGAGTTAATATACACAAAGAACTCATAATTAAGTAGCAAAACTCAGAACATTACAACCACCACCACCAAAAATTGAGCCTGGGGCTGGGAAGATTGCTCAGTGGTTAAAAGCACTGTCTGTGAAAGCCTGAGGACCTGAGTTTAATACCCAAAACCTACATAAAAAGCCACACACCATGGAACACATCTGTAATCCTAGTACTCCTATGGTGAGGTGAGAAATGAAGAGAGAACTGCTTGGAAGCTCCAAGTCACCTAGCCTGGAGTATGCAGCACAGCCCCAGAAACAAGAGACCCCAACTCACCCAAGGAGAAGGTGAGGACTCCTGAAACTTGCCCTCTGACCCCTGCATGTACAGTGCATATAACACACTTTTTTTTTTAAATGGGCAAAAGCTGAGTGTGGTGTCCCATAGCTGCAACTTCACCATTCAGGAGGCAGAGGCAGAATCACAAGAGTGAGGACAGCCCACAAGATGGAACCCATGCTTGGCGCCAGCTTTGAGCCAAGAACCTATTGCTAGACAGGTCATAGGCCCTAGGGGAGAATTGGCTACTATTTTTCTGCTAGATGGGCACAGTATTAAACTACTCCTAATGACTTGTCATTACATTCATACATCAATGCATTTCTCAGTTCTCACCTGAGAAGCTATTTGTAAAAAATAGGTAATTAACAGAGACCTATGACTGTCCAAGGTACAGAGACCAAGAGACTGAAATGTTCAGCCCTAAAAGGAACATATATACCACACACACCCCTTAAGGCTCATAGATCATTGAGAAAGTGGGGGCTGAAGGAGTAGAAGAGCTGGATCCAGAGAAGGAGGATAACTACAAGGAAACAGTGTCTTCTGGACACAGCAGGGCAGCTGCATGTATGAACTCACAGCAGTTGCAAAAGCATGCACAAGACCTGTACAAGTCCAAGCCAGAGTAAATCCCATCATGGAGACTGGAGCTGGGCACAAAATCCCACTTCCAGCCATGGGTATTGACAAATGATGGCTGCTGGGAGAGGGAGAGACATTTTCTGTAAGAGTGCAGACCCTCGTGAGTTCACCCCACACTCCAATGGAAGAGCACACATGCAAGAATATTTGGGCAGCACAATTTGGTCTTGACAGGTTTAAATTAAAAAGGACATAAAGTTGGATGGGTGGGGAAGGGATAGTGGATCTGGGAAGAATTTTGGGAGAGAGGTGACACCAAAACACATTGTACAAAACTCTCTAAGGAAAAACAAGTGAAGTTAGTTTAGCTAACAGCTAATCTAGGCAAACATGTACTATAGTAAGGCCCCATCACAAACAAATCAAAAAGAATGGAAGTAGGGTATGTAAAAAAATAATCTGAACAGACCTTTCTCCAAAGAAGACAGATTAGACAACAAAGATGTGAAAAAATACCTAACTTCACTAATTACCAAAGGAATACAAATTAAATCATAGTAGGAGGTATAACCTGACATTCATTGGAATGCCAGGTCTAAAAACCAACAGCTGGGTGGTGGTGGTGGTGGTGGTGGTAGTGGTGGTGGTGGTAGTGGTGGTGGTGGTGGTGGTGCACACCTTTAATCCCAGCACTCAGGAGGCAGATCTCTGAGTTCAAGGTCAGCCTGGTCTACAGTTTGAGTTCTAGGATAGACAGCCAGGGCTACACAGAGAAACCCTGTCTTGAAAAACCAAAAAACAAACAAAAATAACAAGTATTGGCGAGGATACAGAGAAGTTGGAATCCCTTGTGAGAATGTAAAATGGTACAATAGCTATGGAAAACAGCATTGGATTTCTAAAAAAAATAGAAACATCATACTTTCTAGCAATCTCATTTCTCATTGGACATACACCTTGAAGAATGGAAAGCTGTATCTCAACGATGTGTTTGTACATGCATGCTCACTGCAGCATCAATCGACAAGAGGTGGGTACAACCAAAATCAATCAGACAAATGGACTATTGTGCATACATATAATGTAGTTTTCCAGTCAGGTATGATAGTACAAGCTTGTAATTCTAGAATTCCTGAGGCTGAGGCAGGAGGATTGCCATGAGTTTGAGGCCAGGCAGGATTAAACAGTAAAACTCTCCCTTAAACACTGAAAAGAAAAATTCCTGCCATGTGACATGCCATTGATGGATCTCGATGCCATTACACTAAATGAACAGGATTGTATGATTCTGATTATATGAGGTATCTTAAAATAGTCAAACTCACAGAAATAGGAAATGAAATGGTAGATGCCAGGTGCTAGGGGCTAGGAAGAGGATTAGTGTTTAAAGGCTCAGAATTTTAGTTTTAAAAAGGGAAAAGTTCTGGTGATGTTACAGTATTAATTACTACTGAACTTTTAAAAATCATTTCTCTATAATTTTATTCTTGAGATAGTCATACAAATATACAATGAAATATAATCAGATGCAATCTCCATTTTCCAACTCCCTCATTTCTCCCCCCAACTTCATCTCTGTTTTCTGTTTTTGATAAACCCACTAAGCATGGGTACGGGGCCATTCATTAAAACAAGGGAAACCTTCCAGAGGAACTCTCAAGTAAGAGTGATTCTCCTTACCTCAGTAGCTACCAACTGCCACTATCTCCTCAGTTCAGGATGGGGCCTGGATAGTACCTCCCCTTTCTATGCCCCAACGGCTTCTCTCTTACTGGCCAAAGGAATAGCCCAGTGGTTGGGAGGACTTGTTTCTTTCAAAGGACTGGGGTTCAATTGCCAACACTTTCCTAGAAACTTACAACTATCTCTAACTGTAATTCAAGGGATTCACCAACACTCTCTTCTGGCCTCTGAGCACCAGGCACACATGTGGTGCACTGACATACATTCAGGAAAAACTCTCCTAACCATCAAATTATCTTTTAGCATGCATATATGTATGTACATATGCTAAAATATTACAACTGGAATTGGATTTGAAATATTCTGAGGGGAGTGAGCAGTCATACATGAAATACAAGCAACACCATTGGCAATCCTTAAAGCTAAGCTCTAACAGCTCACTATACCGCTGTGTATGTTTGAAGCTTTCAGTTATGAGTGTTTTTAAAAATCAAGATAATGAAATTGAAAAATAAATCAACAGAAATGCTAAGCAAGACAGTTAAGAAAACTTCTCTGAATGTAAAATCAAAAGAACTAAAAGGACACACAGAAGCAGGCCCTCTAGAAGGCCACATAGCTAACAGGAGTCCCAGAAGAGAGATGTGGCAGATAGATGGCAGAACTCCAAGACAGACCTTCTGTACATCAGAATGCCTTTGCACTCTCATGATGGTGGGAACATAAATGCAGTCATTTAAAGGCAACATTTTGGTTATTTTACTGAAAATGAAAATTCCCACAATCTATGACTGAAAATTTCTCTTAAAAATCCCAGAAAAACGTTCATACGTGAGCATTTAGTATATGCTTGTTTTAAATGGCTATTCAAACTTTTTTTGCATTTACTTATTTGTGTGTAGGTCAGAGAGTAACCTGTGGGAGTTCTTTTCTTCCTGAAGATCCTGGGATTGAACTCAGGCTGTCAGGACTGGCAACTAGTTGGCTTTACCCACTGAGCTACCTTGCCAGTCCTATAAGAAATTCTATCAGTTGAGTGCACACATCCACAGTGCATTCAAAATTCAGAAATTTGACTTCTAGTAATACTTTCTTACACACCCAAGTGAGAAGACACTATTACAAACATTTAATTGAAATTTTGCTTTTAATAGCAAATTCCTTGAAAATATCTAAAAGACTTAAGAGGAAATGAGGCTAAATAAAGGCATTTATGCAACCTAATTATTTATAGGAAAGAATGAGGCACATGTATATCTACATGTGCAGAGAAATAAGCTGCAGATATGCAACCAACAGATCACAAACAATATGGAATATTCAGCTAGAGGAAAAAATTAAGAAATCTTTGAATTTGTGGTAATATAAATGGAGGACAAAATATTAAATAAACAAGGCACAGAAAAATACTGCATGTTCTCTCATGTATGGAAGCTAGAAAGAGTTAATTTGTGTAAGTAGAAACAATAGGTCACCAGAGGCTAAGAAGGGAAAAAATGGAAAAATATTGGATAAGCCGTCCAAAATAGTGACACTGGAGTAAGTTAAAGCCTTTAACAGCACACTAGGGTGACTTTCAGAATAACTTTTATTTTACAAAGTATCAGTGATTCAAAGATTCACGGCATAAAGAAATGGTGCCTCTAAGTACATGCAATTTCAAACTACCCTGATTTCATTGTACATGCTTTCTACTCGTATGGAATCACACTGTTTATGTACAATATTTAAATAAAGTCTAAAGCCTAGCACATAAGAGGCCTTGAGTTTTGATTCCCAAAATGAGAATCTCTATAGTGATGAAAAAAATTACATAATTTACAATTTTAGTAACACAATTGGGGGGGGGTGTGTTTGTTAATGAAAAATAGTAACTACAAAATGTGAAGTGTGCCGGGCGGTGGTGGCACACGCCTTTAATCCCAGCACTCGGGAGGCAGAGCCAGGCGGATCTCTGAGTTCGAGGCCAGCCTGGTCTCCAAAAGAGTTCCAGGAAAGGCGCAAAGCTACACAGAGAAACCTTGTCTTGAAAAACCAAAAAAAAAAAAAAAAAAAAAAAAAAGTGAAGTGAAAATAACTTTTTTGTAAAACAAAATGAACAGGAATTTGTTTGATATGCTCCAAAAGTAAAATATGCTATTCCTAGGATGAAAATAAAGGTCCATTTTACTTAATTTCAAAAGATAAAACTTCACTTGTGCCATGTTCTCCAGTTAGACCTGCCCCACCTTTTCCCGAGGATGATCCAGTTAGAAACCTCGTAACTGGGGTCTGAAATATAGTTCTCAAAGAATCCTTTCAAGTAACAAAAAAACACTGGCTGCCTTGTTCTCTGGAAATCCATGCCCATAGCAAAGTGTCTCAGACAGAATTTAAGTACCCATATAAGCATTTGAAGCAGATACTGTCACAAAAGAATTTAGTTTTAAGGCAATCTTGTAACTTGATCCAGCCTTCCAATCTAAGAAATCTAAATTTGGAATTTGACTCTGCAGCCAAACTTTCTACTCAACATCCTCTTGCCTATTTTACATCCACAAACCATCCACATTAAGGCCCCAGGGATGTCAGGTGCAGAAATCTGATACTACCATGAAGTGGCTTCAAATCCCTTGGAAATTGCTAGGACACATTTCTAAAAGGCAGTGTTCTGAATCAGGGAAAGTAAATTCTACCTTTAACTCATTCATACAAGATTCACATAACCATGATTCATGGCTATTAACTAGTTAGCCTGTTAGCCTTCCTTCTTAGATTCTCAAGGCTCTAAAAGTGGTTTTTTATCTTAGGAAGTATTTTGAATATTTGGAAGAATTAAATTTAAAACTTCCCAAATTTTGTTTTTGGACTGGGTCTTACTATGCAGCCCTGGCTGGCTGAAACTTAGTGTAGACTAGATTGGCTTCACTTTTAGAGACCCACCTGCTTCTGCTGGGATTAAATGCTTGCACTGCCACACCCAGCTTGTGCATTTAGTTTTTAAAGCATTACTTTTTTTTTTTTTTTTTTTTTTTGGTTTTTTCAAGACAGGGTTTCTCTGTGTAGCTTTGCGCCTTTCCTGGAACTCACTTGGTAGCCCAGGCTGGCCTCGAACTCACAGAGATCCGCCTGGCTCTGCCTCCCGAGTGCTAGGATTAAAGGCGTGCGCCACCACCGCCCGGCTAAAGCATTACTTTTGATACATGCTCTGTACATACTAAATGAAACAAGCCCAGCTTCAAAAAAAAAAAAAAAAACCACCACAAACATACAGTGGCACACATCTTTAATCCCAGCACTCAGGAGGCAGAGCCAGGTGGATCACTTTTGAGTGGGAGGCCAGCCTGGTCTACAGAGCAAGATCCAGGACAGGCACCAAAACTACAGAGAAACTGTCTAAAAAAAAAAAGCAACCAAACCTACCACCAAACAAGTCCAACCTCAACACTAGTCAAGTGGTGGAACACTGGTAACAGTTCAATACTCAAAACCAGCTTCTGGATCTCTCTAGTCCTTACATAGCATGCTAACTTCCCCATCTTATTAAGACCTGCTGTGAACTCTATCTAGGTTAATACAGTGAGTTCTAGGATGCTTTTTCAGTTGATCACATGACCAAGGGATTCAAGTTTTACATGGGATTAGGTGGTTCAGTAGGTCAAAAAATGGTATATGCAGGCTTGAGTTCAGGTCACAAAAACCAAAAGTTGCGGCTAGAGTGAGCCTTTGAGTGCTCCAAGTACTTTGACAGACTCTGCCACCCTGTCTTTCACAAAGTAACTGGAAAAGGTCTAATTTCACTAAATGTGAAATTAGTACACATAGTCTTTGGACATCTTTACATTAGTAACTTTCTACAAGACTCAAAGTAAGCTAGGCTTAGTGCCTAAGCATGGCCTGGGATGTAGACCCCATTTCAAATAACCCAGTCTAGCCAAGTATGGAAGCAAAGGCAGCCAGATGTATTTCTGTGAGTTGAGGCCAGCCTGGTCTACATTGAGACCCTGTCCCAAACAAAAAACCCCAGACTTAAGGGTCAAGTAATCAATCTCTCTGTATCAACAACCTAATTTAACCTTTAAACTGGTTTAGTGCTCTAGAACCTAACTTCTTTTTTACTTGGCCAATTTCTCAGCAGACCTCTAAGCAGTTTACAGCTGAATTGCTTGCTCAGCAGTTAAACACTTGTTCTCTTGCTGAGGACTCAGGTTCAGTTCCCAGCACTTACATGGTGGCTCAAAATCGTCTATCTACAGCCCCAGGTAATCTGACACCCTTTTCTAATCTCTGCTGGCATCAGGCACCCCTGCACACATATGAAACACTCAAAACATCAATAAAATTTTTTAAAAACCTGTTTTCTGAATAAAGCCCAACAAAATTTAACCAGTGATCACGTCAATTTATTTAGTTGACTTAGGCATCCGCAATAGTGACTTCAACCTCCACTCCTGGCTCAATACTGATGGAAGTAATCTGTTTAACAATCTCGGAAGGACTGTGTAAGTCAATGAGTCGCTTGTGGATTCTCATTTGGAAACGATCCCACGTCTTGGAACCTTCACCACAAGGTGTTTTTCTTGTAGTGATTCTCAGTGTCTGCAATAAAACAAAACAAACTGTAGTGTACTTCTAAACCATTTTCCCCCATACACTAACAGAATTCAGATAGCAACAACTTTCACAAGACAGCAGCACCCTTGGAGTTTGATTTACTAAGGCCTCATATCCAATCACCACCATCAGGTATTTGGCACCTAGTACATGCTAAATTGTACTAATTTCCGTTTAAGAATTCCTTTGGCAACCAAACCCCGAAACACCAACACCCCCTGTTTTATACCACTAGAAGACTCTGTCATGTACCTTGGTAGGCATGCGCACCGGTCCTTTCACCTTCAGGTTCTTTTCCTTTGCGCCTCTGATCAAGTCGGCACACACTGCAGATGAACAGACACTGTCTTTCAGTTAATTCAAAATGACTGACGCCGCCGTAAGGACGTTGGCCTATCGGCTCAGAATAGCGTATAAGAAACATCACTGCAATTCAAGACAGTAGGGGTCTCCTCACCGCCGACCGCCCCCCAGCCAAGGTGCAAAGGGCACCACGGGGTCGCCCGGAGCCGCCGTACTGACCCTTCTCCAGCGACTTCACGTTGCGGCTGGTGAGCGTGATTCGAATTCGGTGAATCGCCACCTCGGGCTCCACGGGCGTCTTTCCGGTATCTTTAAAAGCCTGTCATCAGGCAAACAAACAGCGGAGCGTAAGCCGCGGCCCACGCACGACACAAACGCCACCGGGACCCTCCCGGGCCGCGGCCGGAGCCCTCTCCAGGGTCCGCGCTCGCGGCGCCCGGGACCGCGAGCCCCGCAGCCGCCCCAGGCCGCGCTCGCGGCGCCGACCCCCGCTCACCATGGCCGCGGCGCAGCTTCCTGACCGACTTGTTCCTCAGCAGGAGCGAACAGCGGTGAGTCAGGACGGGAGCAGGCCTGACGGAGCTCCGCGGCACGCAGCACCACGCCTCAGAAAGGAGCGCGCCGCGGCCGGCTCGCGCTTATATAGCACGCTCGCATCCGGGTCCCTCGCGCCCCGGAACAGGAACCTCCGCACCCGCCAAGAGGCGGCGGCGGGAGGCCGGGCTGCAGGGCCTCCGAGTTGGCGGGAAAAGTGAGGGCGCGCGCGCGCGCCCCCCGCCGGCTGGGCGGAGCCACTGTCCTAACCCGGTGGATTCGGGAGGCTGGAGCCCGGGAAACCCGCGTCCCCCGCTCTGTGCTGAGCCCTCTGCAAAGCGCCGGCCGAAATACGCTTCCCATGCACACCCAGGTCAACGTGCTTTTGTCTCACAAGTGAGCGACTTTTCTGGGTTTAACTGGCACAGGCCTTGGGGAAGAGCGACCCCGACAAGCCAGGTGTTTGAATTTATTTACTTGGTGCTGGAAATAGAAACCAGGGATCAGCAGGAAAAAGCACTCAAACCACGAGCCTGACACTCCGAGTTCGATCCTGTGTGTCCTCGGTGGAAGGAGAGACGGGATTCCGGAAAGTTGTCATCTGACTTCCAATCGAGATCTGTAGCACCTACCCCACGCCCACCCCCCATTAATAACTAAAATTACATTTTAAAAGTTTTTCGGAGCTGGAATACCCTTTTGTGATATTTGCGCTTTGGGCTTCCCAGAACAGTGGAAATGTCTGTATCTGCCGGGAAAGACACGAGTTTAGCGTCAGTTAAGAGAAGGCGAACTCCAGTCCCAGGGCTCTGTCGGGTCACAGGGCATTGTACCTGCAGCTAGGCCTGGGACCCGTGTGCCCAGTTTTAACACATTCTCTCCTCTATGCTGCGATGAAGCGATGTGTACTGGCTAAGACCTCCGAGGACTCCTTAGAACAACAGAGCATCTGTTCATAATAAAAATCCGTGTCCAAATACAGCGGAAGGAAAGCCAAGCGAGGTCAAACGCCCTGAGAAGCAGCGGAGGGTGCAGGTTCGTCTCCCCCTCCAACCTCCCCTCCCGCCAAGGATAAGGGCGTGGTCAAACAATGTAATCAAGGAGGTGGATTTAGGATGAGACGGGAGAAAATAACATTAATTTGCAGGTGAAAGTTATTTGCTCAGACCTGCAGACTTGTGAGGAACTGAGAACTGATCCCCTCCAACCTTTTAAAGACATTCTCTTCTGACCTTTGGGAGAGAACTATACTTGCATTGGCTATATCAGCATTGGCTCATTTGCTTGGTGATAATTCAAAACTGGCCTTCTGACTTACAATGCACATGTTGTTTTGCTATCATTGAACAATTAAGGAAAGTGTTAAAATTAGATTTTTCAAGTTCAATTACTTTTAAATAGAATCCATTGACTGCAAATACTCTACTAGTAAATTTCACAGCAGAAAAAAAACCTGCAATCTGTATTCTTTTTTTTTTTTCTTGCTTATTTGCTTTGCTTTTTTGAGACAGGGTCGTACTAAGTAGTCTTGTCTGGCTTGGAATTTACAGAGATCTACTTGACTCTGCTTCCGGAGTACTGGGATTAAAGGTATTGGCCACCACCCCAGCTAAAACCTGCATTCTTATTTTAATAGCTGTGACCTCAATGAAACTTTAAATCTGTTTGATGTATTTATAGGGTTATCCACAACAAATAGACAAATGCATAATAGCCTAGCTTCCTGAGATGTGATCTGTATTATATCAAGAGTAGTTGTGTCTTCAGAGGCCTGTACAGCAGTCCTCCAAGGTTGTCCAGAAACTCAACAGAGTGCTTAAGAAGTACAATTATAAACCTTTTAGTAGCCCTCGCTGGTTTCAAACTTAAAATCCTCCTACCCAGTGCTACAGGGTAACAGGAGTGTGCCACCACTCCCAGCTAGAATTATTTTCAAAAACAAAGCGTAGACTTCCCTGACACCATAAACACTTGAGAAAATGGTGACATGTTAACTTATTGAACAATAAGAAAAGGAGTTTTTAGATGGTGTCAGTGGCGTTGGTCTGTAATCCCAGTGTTGAGGAGCCATAGGCAGGAGGATCTCAAGTTCAAGACCAGCCTGGACTACAGAGTAAGAACCCATCTCAAAAATCCAAGGGCTAGCTGTGCGGTGGTGGTACACACCTTTAATCCCAGCATTTGAGAGGTAGAGGCAGGCAGATCTCCGAGAGTTCGAGGTCAACCTGGTCTACAAAGAGGATGCCAAGACTGTTACACAGAGAAACACTGTCTTAAAAAAAAAAAAGCACTAAAAAAGGAGGAGGAATAATAATAATTAATAAGGAGAAGACAAGGAACAACAAAAAAAGAAACAGGGGCTGGGGATGTGGCTCCGCAGTTAAGAGCACTTGCTGCTCTTCAGAGGACTCAAGTTTGGAAGGCTCTTAATTGCCTGTAACTCCAGCTCCACGGGATCCATTGCCCTCTTTTGGCCTCTGGATACCCGCACACAAGTGACATACACTAACAGACACATGTCCATAAATAAAAATAAATATGTTTAAAGTCAGTATCTCAAAGAGATACCTTCTCATATCCATTGCAGTATTATTTACAATAATTAAGGTATGGAAACAATCTAAGTATCAACAGGCAAGTGAATAAAGAAAAGGATGTGCATACACAATAGAATATCGCCTGCCCTGAAAAAAAGGAAATCATGATGTATATCAGTGAGCCTGTTGGCATTGTGTTAAGTGGAGTCAGGAAGACAAATAGTGTGTGCCCTCAATGATATGTGGCAACCAAACAGTCTAACTCATAAAGGCTAAGAGAGAAAACGTGTTGCCAGGGACAGGGTGGGATGGCGAAGTTCGGAGAGATGGTCAGTAAAAACTATTGTTGAACATTTTTTTGATTTTCATTTCAAACTTCTTGCTGTGTTTTTCTCTTCAAAATTAGTGATTATAGTGCCACCCAAATTTCCACACAAAAGGTAATTTTCTACGTTAGTGTGTAAGGTAGCCATTGAATGAAAAGTATGAATCAAGGGGGCTGGAGAGATGGCTCAGAGGTTAAGAGCACTGACTGCTCTTCCAGAGGTCCTGAGTTCAATTCCCAGCAACCACATGGTGGCTCACAACCATCTGTAATGACATCTGGTGCCCTCTTCTGGCCTGCAGTCATACATGCTGTATACATAATAAATAAATAAAATTAAAAAAAAAAAAAAGTATGAATCAAAAATAAGTAAAATGTGCCGAGCGGTGGTGGTGCACACCTTTAATCCCAGCACTCGGGAGGCAGAAGCAGGCGGATCTTTGTGAGTTCGAGGCCAGCCTGGTCTACAGAGCGAGATCCAGGAAAGGCGCAAAGCTACACAGAGAAACCCTGTCTCGAAAAAATCCAAAAAAAAAAAAAGTAAAATGCTAAATGGAAACACATATTTTCATCATTCCAAGATAAGCAATTTATACCTTTAGGTATGTATATACCTTTTTTAAAATATGGCTTATATCCTATGTACAATATGATTCAAAGAACATTATGATAGGTATATTTCTGTTTCATTCCCTTTTATTAAAATAATTGTTATAATAATTATTAAAGTGTATGGTGTGTGTGTGTGTGTGTAGGTGTGTGTGTGTGTGTGTGTATAGGGGTGTGTGTGTGTGTGTAGGTGTGTGTGTGTGTGTAGGGGTGTGTGTGTAGGGGTGTGTGTGTGTGTGTGTAGGGGTGTGTGTGTGTGTGTGTGTAGGGGTGTGTGTGTGTGTAGGGGTGTGTGTGTGTGTAGGGGTGTGTGTGTGTGTGTGTAGGGGTGTGTGTGTGTGTGTGTAGGGGTGTGTGTGTGTGTAGGGGTGTGTGTGTGTGTGTGTGTAGGGGTGTGTGTGTGTGTAGGTGTGTGTGTGTGTGTAGGTGTGTGTGTGTGTAGGGGTGTGTGTGTGTAGGGGTGTGTGTGTAGGTGTGTGTGTGTGTAGGTGTGTGTGTGTGTAGGGGTGTGTGTGTGTAGGTGTGTGTGTGTAGGTGTGTGTGTGTGTGTAGGGGTGTGTGTGTGTGTAGGTGTGTGTGTGTGTGTGTAGGTGTGTGTGTGTGTGTAGGGGTGTGTGTGTGTGTAGGGGTGTGTGTGTGTGTAGGGGTGTGTGTGTGTGTGTGTGTGTAGGGGTGTGTGTGTGTGTGTGTGTGTGTAGGGGTGTGTGTGTGTGTGTGTGTGTGTGTAGGGGTGTGTGTGTGTGTGTGTAGGGGTGTGTGTGTGTGTAGGGGTGTGTGTGTGTGTGTGTGTGTAGGGGTGTGTGTGTGTGTGTGTAGGGGTGTGTGTGTGTGTGTGTAGGGGTGTGTGTGTGTGTGTGTGTGTGTGTGTGTGTGTAGGGGTGTGTGTGTGTGTGTGTGTAGGGGTGTGTGTGTGTGTGTGTAGGGGTGTGTGTGTGTGTGTGTGTGTGTAGGGGTGTGTGTGTGTGTGTGTAGGGGTGTGTGTGTGTGTGTGTAGGGGTGTGTGTGTGTGTAGGGGTGTGTGTGTGTGTGTAGGGGTGTGTGTGTGTAGGGGTGTGTGTGTGTGTGTGTAGGTGTGTGTGTGTGTGTGTGTGTAGGGGTGTGTGTGTGTGTGTGTGTGTGTGTGTGTAAGGGTGTGTGTGTGTGTGTAGGGGTGTGTGTGTGTGTGTGTGTGTGTGTAGGCCAGAGAACAATTGGTTCTCTTCATTCCACCTTTACTTTTGGTTGCGAGCCCATCCTTTAATGGCTGAGCCATTTCTCTGACCCTCATTCCACCTTTATTATTTAGTTCCAGGGCTTGAACTTGGGTCATCAGGCTTGCAGTGTCCCACAGCAAGCACTTTCCTTGCTGAGCCATCTTTGCTGGATCCTTTTCATCTCCTCTAATGACAACTGTGACAGAAGTCTCTAGAGAAACTGTCGGTTTTGAAGTCTGATTTACTGGCCCTGACCTCACCATGGAGTTAGTCAGTGGAGAAGTGCAAGGTTGTAGAGGGGAGTCACCTGTACCTGGGGCTCATTTTAGGCTATTTGTTGACAATCTGCATCTCTTCTAGCAGTTTTGTGACTATTAGTTAAAACTTTCGGAATGTATTATTTACCTGACTACTGACTTCTACTACCTCT